CATATCCAGAACTGCCTTAACCTTTTATGGGTTAGCCTTGATTCCTCTGCTGTTGACTATGAATCCCAGAAACTTCCCTGCTAATACTCCAAAGGCGCACTTTGCAGGGTTGAGTCTCATCTTGTACTCTTTGAGGATTTGGAACGATTATGGTAGGTGCTCGATGTGCAGCTCTGCCTTCAGTGATTTTACCAATATGTCGTCGATATAGACCTCCATGGATGTCCCAATTTACTTTTGGAACATTCTATTCACTAGGCGCTGAGAGGTGGCTCTAGCATTCTTCAATCCAAAAGGCATGACCTAGTAACATTAAATTCCCTGTTCAGTCACAAATGAAGTCTTCTCTTGGTCTGCTGGGTCCATCCTGATCTGATTATAACCTCAAAAAGCATCCATGAAGCTGAGGAGCTCATGTCCAGCGGTTGCATCCACGATTAAGTCAATTCGAGGTAAGGGAAAGCTGTCCTTGGGGTATGCTCGATTGAGATTAGTGAAATCAATGCAGAGCAGCCATTTCCCATTGGTCTTCTTGACCAACACCACATTCGCCAACCAGGTAGGGTAGTCCACCTCTCTGATGGCTTTGGCGTGGAGGAGTTTACTAACCTCCTCATTAATTGCCTTCTGGTGTTTCAGCGCAAAACTTCTCCGCTTTTGTTTAACAGGTTTGCAAATGGGATTCACACTTCGCTTGTGTGTGATGATTAAGGGGTTAATGTCTTTCATGTCCTCTTGCTTCCAAGCGAACACCCCCATGTTCTTTCTTAGGAACTAGGTGAGTAGGTCTATCATTTCTTTGCTTAACTTGGATCCCACGTAAACAATATGTTCAGGCTCCTCATCGAGCTGGATTAGCTCTAGCTCTTCTGACGGTATGGGCCTGGTTTTCCAGCTCGTCCCTCATGTCAAGCTCATCTAACTGGATAGTTTCAACATCTTTTTGCTTCACTGAGGCCATGTAGCACTGCCTGGCTATTTGCTGGTCTTCTCGGACCATTTGAACTCCATTTTCTGTAGGAATTTTTACGACCAGGTGATATGCTGAAGGGATGACTTTCATTGCGTTGAAGGATGGTCTCCCAAGTAGTATATTGTACGCAGAAGGGGCGTCTACGACCAGAAATTTCATAGTGGTGGTGGCTTGACGAGGGTCCCCCATAGTGAGCACGAGTTGGATGGATCCTAGGGGTAGCACCCTCTCCCCTGAGAACCCCATCAGGTGAGCATTCACTAGCTCAAGCTTCTCCCTTCCTACGCCCATTTTGTCAAAGGCAGAGGCAAAATGATGTCGGCCGAGCTCCCATTGTCAATTAGAACTCAATGAACAGTTTGGTTTACCACAATAGCACTTATGACCAAAGGGTCATCATGGGGATACTGATAGCCTTCCAAGTTTGAATCCGAGAAAGTGATGGTTGTGTTCAGCCGAGGTATTTTGGATACGGTGTGTACTTCCAGCGCTTCGCCAGCTCTGATCCTGTGCAGATGTGCTTTCCTGGCTGCACTGGATTCTCCACCGCCAGCAAATCCTCCAGATATCACTTTGATCTCTCCTAAGGGTTGCTGGTGCTGTACAGGGGCTTGTTACTGGGGTGCCGGTGGTGGTGGAGTCCTGTTCTAGTTGTCATGGGCAACAAATCGTTGTAATTGTGTTCTCTGGATCAAGAACTCAATCTTCTTCTTTAGCTGGATGCAATCGTCAGTATGATGGCCATGATCCCTATGATACTCGCAATATTTCGCAGGGTCTTTTTTAGATGGATCTGCCTTCATTCGTGGAGGCTACCTTAGGAATTTCTCGTTCTGCACCTCGTACAGGATCTAGGACACTGTCATAGTGAGAGGGGTATATTGTTGAGGTGCATACCTTGGTTGTAGTTCAGGTTGCGGGGGGCCTAAACGGTCCCTAACGTTCCCCCTTCTTTTTGGGGATCGCACTTTGTCTCTTTTGGGAGATCTATCTCTCTTCGGAGATCTATTTCGTTCTCTCTCTCTCTTTTGGGACTTGGATTCCTCTTTTTCTCTTCCCTCCCATGTCTCTATGTGTAGAAGAGCTCCCTACCTTAGAAAGAAGAGCTTTTTCGCTGTTTATGTATTTCTCCGCTTTGGCAAGCACCTCGGCCATGCTTGCTTGGGGATTTTTTGATATGGAGAACATCAAATCTTTAGACTGCACCCCTAGACCAGCTATGAAGGTAGTGATGACGAAATTTTCATTTGGGACATCCATCTTTAACGACTCCAAATTAAATCTTTGGACATGACCTGAGGTTTTCTTGTGGTCCCTATTTCACATTCAAAAGGTGATAGCTCGACTTTCTATAGGTTCGAGCCCCTATGAAGTGGGATACGAAGGAAATGGAAAGCTCTTTGAAAGAAGAGATTGAGGTCGGGGGAGCCTATTAAACCATGCCACGGCTGCCTCTTCAAAGTGATGGCAAAGGCTTGACAGCGTATGGGATCCTAATACCCATGCAATTCCATCTAGTTCTTATGAATATTGAGGTGGTCCATAGGGTCCCTAGTTCCATCAAAGGACTCTATTTGTGGCATCTTGAACTTTGGTGGGAGGGGAAAATGCAACACCCCAGGCGTGAATAGAGATTCAGTCTACTGCACCAAAGCGTCCATTGTAACTAGAGCTTTACTTCTGACTGCTTCTTTCATGTGGTTGAGCTCCTGTTGGATGCTCTTGAAGTGTTGCTCCTAATATTGCTCCCTTCTCTCTTGCTAATAAGGGAAGACATCATTCTTTTCTCTTTCATGGTTTTGACTTTGTACTTCCTCATTGTGGCCGTTCCTAGGGGATAGTTGGGGAACCTGTCCCAAGGTCTGGCTGTTCTCCCCCCCCCCCTCGTTGTCTTCTCTAAGTGGATCAAGGTGTTATTGATCCCTGTAGTGGGGGCTGTTCTGACCTTCTTGGGCCGGACGTGCCTCATGTGGGCGCTGTAAGAGCTTCAAGAGCTCCTCGTTTTGCTTTATCAAGCGTTGATTGACGAGGCGAAGGGCCTCCATCTAGTTATATGTGAGGGGATTCCCCATGGGAGGATCAGTCTCTGAGACGTTCTCGGGCTGTCTGCCATTGGTGGCTCCCTATTGGTCTGCATCCGAGATGGGTTTGTTTGGCTTCTGCTCATGTTTCATGTTGACACCATCAGTCACTAAAAGATCAGCTTATTTGTAACAGGAACAATCGTTCCCAAAGACGGCGCCAAACTGATGGCTTAAATCAACGTGGATGAGCAAAATGTGCAAATGACGTGTGATGAGTGTGGATCAGAGCTACAAGGCTCGTGTGTGATGCTGTAGTGAAATACTGAGAGGATTAAATGGATGTACACAGTGAAAATATAGTGGTTCACCGGCTCAGAAATTTGGCTAGTCCACTCTTCAATAGAGGTTCTTGCTCCCTCTCGTCTATTCCATACTCAAAATGTATTACAATACGGTATCTCTCGAAATTAGGGTTTTTCTTTCTTCTTTTTCTTTCTCTATAGAGGCATTACATAGTATTTATAAGGCTGCCCCCTATTCCGTGGGATTTCAGCCGAGATCTTTGCCTATTATTCATGGGATCCTCCTTGATTTTAGGATAGAATCTTGGTTGGTTGAGAGTTTCATGCACGAGGCTCAATTTTCGCAGTCATCCAGCTGTTTTCTGGTTGGTTCATCTACGATCTCCCCAAGGAGAGCTCCACCCCTGGTTCTCTGAGTTTCTCGTGTCTTTCTTGACCTCCTGACCTGATCTCCCGACCTGAGCTCACAGCTACGATTTGTTTGAGGTAACATCATATTCATATTTCTTGTTTGTTTTTTTTCCCACTTTATTGCGATATAGATCTGCTGACAAAGGATTATATCTCCGACTGTCCCATATTTCTACACATATGAACTAAAGGATTTGGTTGTCTTTAAATTGAGTTCAGTTTTTTTTCGTTTTTTAGGCTATAGATTTCTGTTTATTGGAAATTCGAGAAAACACCGGCATCCACACCACTCCGTTAAGCTTAGTGAGATCATTTTTCTAATTAGTTGATTGGATTATTTTATTAACAATTGAGAACAAAATCAGCATAAAAATATAGAATTCAGAACTTCATTTCCCGTTCTTATAGTCTAGTATCCAGGATTCTAATTGGGTTGTACATTGTGTGGCACGATATATAGGGAGGCAGTGGTGATATCTGTTAGTAATATATCAGGATTTGTATCCATAGATAAGGATGGAAGTTGGGTTTGCACCGGCGGACATAAGCACAAAACAAAGGATCATCCAGATCCTGTAAGTTGTGATTCCATTTTTTGCTTATGTGATTAATTTATTTACCACAGTTCCAACGATTTTATCCCCTGATTAATGCTTTCATAGAATTGATAATTTGCTTTGAGCTTCTAGCTGTTTTTTTTTTTTTTTCCTGTAACTCATGATTTAAATAATTAATCGAGTGTGATTAGTGTAAATTTGTAAGGAACTATTTGTGATATCTTTTTGGTTCACTGGCTACGTTTATGAAATGAATGTCATCAAACTCGTTGCTTTCCCTCCTTGTTCATCAAATTTGAGGAATTAGACTATATGCCCAAAAAAAAAAAAAGGATAATGCAGTTAGATTTAATTATAGCAAGTGATTTTAATATTTTTTTGGGCTTTATTTGGATTGCCTAATATTGGAAAATAAAAAGAGTGGTGATTATTACGTTGCTTTATTCTTTTTTTTCCTTGTTTTTTTTTTTTTTGTGTATGATTATTTTGGTATCTTGAAACCACATGTATTTGATGGTTCAGATTTGCAAGCATATCATATTGGAATACGTTTATGGATAAGAGTTGGATACATTTACATAGACTGAATCCGTTGTATGAACAAGGAGTTAAGAATTTTATCAAATTTGCATGTGAAAATAAACCAAATGCATTGGAACTCACGTCCCATGCAAAAAGTGTTGTTATGTTAGATCGGTAAAAGTGGAACTTTTGGAAGAGCATTTGATTGTAGATGGGTTTCTTGAGAGTTACACTCGTTGGATTTTTCATGGGGAAAGTTTATTTGCTTCGGTTTCTAGAGATAATGAATCAAGTGACTCTAGTTCGGGAGATGAAATTCAAGAAATGTTGCATGATGCATTTGGGATTCCCCCTCCAAGTCCAGTTTGTGGAATGAGTAGTGACGAACCTGAAAGGGATAATAGAGAAGGGCTAGATCAGGTGAATGAAAGTTTTTTAAAATTGTCGAGTGAAGTTGAATGAAAGTTACATCCGGGATGCACCAAGTTTTATAGTATTAAGATGATATAGTGTGCTACTATTGGCTCACACAATGATGACACACTATTAGAGAAAATAGGGATACTATTAGAGAACAATAGGGTTTGGGTGGTTGTCTTGATGTCAAATTCTTTTGTTGCCTGCTTTAGTGCACTAGTGCCAAATTTTATCATGGGAAAGTCGTTTACTGCTGGCATTATGGGGTCATTTTTCCTCTTTCCTGGGTACTTTATATCGAAGGATGACATACCCAAGTATTGGCTTTTCATGCATTATTTGAGTATGTTCAAGTACCCTTTTGAGTGCTTTATGATAAATGAGTTTGGAGGGGAAAAGGGGAAATGGAGATGCTTGGAGAGCTTTGAAGGAGAGTGTTTCTTGTATGGAGAAAAAATCTTGATGCAGCCAGGTTTGAAAGAGTCACAAAAATGGAGCAACTTAGTTGTGATGCTGGTTTCATCTTTGGGTACAGGTTTGTTTGTTTTCTGATTCTGTGGTGTAGAACTTATAAAAGCACAACTAAGCTAGAGGGATTTTCAGCCAATTTAGCTTTTTATCAACTCAGGCTTTGTCTGTTTCTTGATGCCATTTATTGTTATCTTTATCTTTTTCTTCTTTTTTCATGTTGTGATGGATCACTATAGAAATGGCTATAATTCTACCATTTACCTTTTGTAATATTGCAATTTTCAAAACATGCTCTGTTTTGACTGGCTGCTTGGCACAGTTTAAAATCTGTCAACATTCTCAAGATTGATTGTCCATCAGCTTTTTAAGCTTAGGGCTACTAGACTTAACCTTAGATTCACGTGAGAAAATTTGGCACTAGTGCTTTTCATTTTTGTTGTTTTATGTGGAATTCATATGTTAATTTATATTAAATGTAGGTTCATCAACAAAAGAGAGCGAAATTCCCGCCTAAGTGACTCTCCCTCTTAAGCCTAAGGTTCAGGATGATGCTGCAGAGAAAGTTCTGCAAGGATTTTTTGAAAATTGAATTTTCTTGTTCTTTGTCTTGTCGGGTGTTTGAGAGTGAAAGAGGAGAGTTGTTGTTTTTGATGATATGGGGTATTTTTGCTGAGTATTATCCAGCGGGGGAGGTTAAATGGAGAGATGCTTTTTTATGGATTGGAGGATGTTGCTGAGGCTTATTTTTGGAGGATGCTGCTGAAGCTTATTTTGGTTTGGGAAGTTTTTGAGTTTTTTTGTTTTCTTGTTTGAATTTTTTGAATTTTGAGAATATGCACTGTGTTCAGATTGCCGTCCTTTGGGGCTAAGCCTAAGGCTCCAGAAGTTTTGGCAGGACAACAGATTTTGAGGGACTTGAAGGTGGAGTCCCATGAGAAGATTCAAGTGAGGTGCTTATGGTTTTGAAAGGGCATTTGAGAGCCTAGAAGTACTGGACTTTGGTGAGGCAAATTTTGGAAATTTTGAGCACTGAAATTCAATTTGGGTCATGTTTATAGGAAAGCAAACTGTATGGCAGATTTTTTGGCATTGATTTATTAAAAAAAAAAATTATTATTACTGGCGTTTATTTAAACGCTAGAAACTAGTTACCAAAAATAATAATTACTCCGGTCATCAAAATTTTAAAAGAAAGTCGTCGCTTCAGCATTTAGTAAACGTCACTTTAATTTTTGTGGCGTTTAATTATACGTTGGTAATTTTTTCGACGAAGATTTTGCCGACGTTAATAACAAACGTCAATAATAATATTTTGCGGCGTTTATTTACATTTACCGGCATTTAAACGCCGGTAAATGTCTTTTTTCTTGCAATGACCCAGAAAGTAATGCAATAGAGTTTGTGACCAAATCTTACTTATTGGGAAGTTGTTCACTGATAAGCACATCAACAGAACGACACCTAAAACAATAATCATAAAGGCATGGAACTCTGTAGATTGAATGGAAATCAAAGATAGGGACAATGATACATTCATATTTATATTCACCAATGAAAGATTTATCAGACAAAGCCCTTGGAACATCAAAGACCAACTGCTCGCCATTAAACCAAACGTCCAAACCAAAGCAATAACAGATCTGGACTTTCATACTGCTGATTTCTAGCTTAAGCACATGACCTTCCTCTAGATATGGTGATCCCTGAAAATGCATTCAAAATATCCCAATCCCTTGGTTCACCAGCACTACCAGAATGGTGCTTGAAATAGGGAAATCTGTGGAAAGGCTATTTGCGAACTAGGGTTACTCTGGATTTAACCTAACTAATTCATAGCCATTTCTGGTTGCAAAGAAAAGAGAATAGAAACAAATTCATCAGCCTCAAATATGAACGATTGGGAGATTTTTGCTGTAGTGTGGACGTGTGGGACATGATAAAACAGGATGCATACGCTCTTTAGAAACAGATGCAGAGTCTAGTTTTGGTCCCCACCTCAGAGCTCAACCATGGCAATCAACAATAACGATTGCAAATCCCATGTTGGAAAAGCTATCTATGCTAGAAACTACGTCGGAAACCTATAAACCAATATAACACATGACAACGCGTGGCCACATAAAAGTGAAAGACACGTGGCACAAGACCACTACTGTAACACCCCGACTTAACTCATGCAAATCAGAGCGTTAATAGTCTTCATAAGCAATAAATGAAGCAATCTTCAAATAATGAGAAAACTCTAATACCAAAACTGTCACACCCCAGATTGCCTAGGCATGCAACGTATGTTACTCTTTACCCGCAGAAGCATTATAAAAAGAGTTCAGAAATTAATGTACAGTGCCACGCCAACGAGAAATCATCCTAATAGACCACTCAGGTCAATAAGAAAATACGATCCAACTTTTTAGGAGACTTTCACCCCAAAGAAGATACGATCCCACAATCAATTCGGTACCCAAGTCCAAAGACCAGAAGACCATTCACACATTTATGAACTCAATGAAAAACCCTCTATGAATTCACTTGGAACGTAAACCCTTTACCACTCAAACTTGTGTGCACTTACATTGCATTCAAAAGAATTTTGGAGTTTCATTCAATATGAGCAATATGATCGTTATGGCAATTTGTGAGAAATCGCACTCAAAAACCTTAACCTGGGTCTGGATTTTAAGCCATTATCAAATGTCCTATCATATATTTCAAAATATGTTACACGATCATAAATAATATATGAAATAATTTAAAAATAAGTTTGACACCACATATTGATCCGGGTATCAGATTGACATGAAATTTTATCAACACCTTTGTATGGACATTAAAGAACTTTTGGGATTGATCAGAGGTCCATCACACACCACCCTCACCACATGACACTCTATCAAACCCCATAGTGTTAGAAGCTTCAAATTAAGATTAAACCCATCCAAAAATTTGGTCAAAGTTGAAAAACAAGGTTGTCTAACATAGACTAGACCTGCAACTCAACTTTTCACCCTCTAAGAAAGCTCTAAACTAATTTTTGAGACCACCATCGAGTTCCTAAGGTCCAAGTTAGCTAAGGCTACCCATCATTTGAAGCCCAAACAAATTAACCACGGAAATAAAAAACCTCTATAACCGAAAACTTCATCTCTACCTCCATACCACAATCAGTCACAGCATACCTCAAAACCACCACCAAATTTTCCAAAACCTGCCCACGACACATCCATGCCAACCAATTAAACTAAAACCATACGAATTCACATACCCGTTTTATGAAACCCTTAAACCCAAAAATTAAAACATCAAATTCTTGCAACTATAGTTAACTAAGTCAAAAACTAATAGCATAAATGGATTCTTATCATCCCAATTAGCCTAGAAGTATGCCTCAAATCCTTCTAAGTGATCTCTATAACAAACCCAAAAAATCCAAAGTAAAGATTTCTCTCTCTAAACTTCTCTATTCTCTTTCTCTCTCTTTCAGCCATTTTTCCCCTTCTCATTACCACCAAAGTGCTGAGTTAAACCCCCCAAGAAGCTGGGTGATGTTCATGTAGCAAGAGGGCCTTCATAAACCACCAGCAAGCACCATGGAAGGTGCTTGTTATCTCAAGCGCAAATCCATAATTTTCTAATTTCTTATCAATTTTTGAAAATTAATATATATATTACAATTACAGACATATTAAATCAAGCATTAGAACATTACCAATTATATTTTTGAAACTCAATTCGACTTCCAATTTGATCTGCGATTGAAATAGCTTCACACTGTAATTGAGGAATCTCCGTGCATCTCTGCTATCCCCCTTATATAACCCACAACCAGATCTAACATTGACTCAGCATATGCAATCCCTAAACCCCCATGAAATATTCAAAAAATAGATGGGCTACGACCCATATACCATAGTCCAAATCCAAACACCATACACTCACACTCAAAACAGAGAAAAACCCTTATGACTCAAATCTCAAATAACTCTGGAAACAAAAACCCCAACCCACCAACCTATTCATTATATCCCTCACAAAAACCAACCCAAAAGGAACCCACCCTCCCAGATAAAATACCCACTGAAGCTGTTAAATCACCCAGTTCTCAACAAGACAACGACCTCCAACAACTGCACAAAAAACACAAAGACCCAGAGGACCTTGTTACTTTCGATGAATCTCCCATAAAGACCTATAATCCTTCACCATAATTGATCACTATAGTGTTATTGTGTTTCATAGACTTTCTCAAATGTAGCATTTTTGAAGATATAATGTACCAGCAAGCCACAAAATTCTACCGGAAGGAGGATGGAATGATTGCCGTCAGGCATCCAAATGAAATTGAAAGAGCTCAAGAAAGTTGTGTGGGCAAAGAAATGATTGCAATAGTGGATCCTTCCATCAGGGAGCCACCCAATTTTGCAAGAAAAATAGTAAGAAAATTCATGAGCCAGAGAGCTATTAGTACTAGGACCAGAGTGATTATAGAGAAGATAACTGAAACTTAAGTTGATTGGACTGAGGAAGCTACTTCAACGGCTAAAGAGGCAAGCTTGATCATGCCCCACTTCGCCATG